TTTGAGTCAGGGTCTCCCTGTAGCCCCAGCTGGCCTTGAACTCACAGAGATCTGCCTGTCTCTGCCTCCCAAGTGCTGGGATTAAAAATTATATTTGTTAAAAAATCACCTCAGGATGCCTGGGAGCAAGGCGAGCCCATTGTTGAGATGCATTTACATAAGGATCCCCCACTTTGTCCTTGTATGCCTGTTCAGGTCCACAGAAGAACCCCACTGTACATACTATACTTTTTTTTCTGTTCTTAAAGGAAGTCCTGTTTAGCTCTTTCTTTCTGAGAGCAAAATCAAGGAAAATTCAAAACATGAAAATTTAAACCTGAGCCTGACTTAAAAACTGCAAGTCTTCATAAAACAGAAATCTAAAAAAGGGTAAGTGCTGTCTGCTCCCAGCAGCTGTAGAGGAAGGAGAGTTGCTCTGCAGCCTAAAACTAGTTCAAGGGACTGCATTTCACAGCTCAAATTGAGTTCTTTGCCAAGAATATGACATTTTTCTCTTGCAGGGAATATAGACTCGTAAATATTCACAACAGCAACCAAATGAATATGTTTTCTATGGAAATAGACTGTCTTTCAAAGTTTTTTTTTTTTGAACAAAGGCGGCTCAGACTCTTGGCCTTTAGAAATGATTGTGAAGAGCTGAGGAAACAGCCCCCTACCCCTCCCTCTGGGATGCTGGTCTATGGTCTTACTAATGAGTTTGTCCCCCAGGTAATAGAGTAATTTGTATCTCTGTCTTCCAAAGAGATAATATACTTATAAAAATTCTGTCAATCAAAAAAGAATTACTGGCACGCTCCTCTTCTGTCATTTGTGTGTGTGATAAAACAATTAGAAGTGTATAGCTTTGCCAGATATATTGTTTAACACATAATTTGAGAATTGGTTTCCTTTACAATAGCAGGCTCCAGGTCCACAACATCCATCCCACCAAGTCCTAATTACTGATTTCATGTTGTACTCATGAAGCTATGATCAAAGACTAATCAAGCCCCACGGATTCTCCATATAGTCCAATGCCTGGCATTATGGTGGGAAACAGATAGACTGTACTTTCTATTCTAGTCCCGCCTCCCCAGGCAGCAAGTGGTACTTATTCCTGCTGCTTCTGCCTGAGCCCTAGTTCAGTTCTGAATCCTATGGGACACAGTGTCTGAGACAGCTGGTGCCAACCAGGGGAAATTATCAATAAAATCTATTTCAGCTGAGCGTGGTGGTACACTTGCAATTCCAGCACTCGAGAGACTGAAGCAGGATTGTGAATGGAAGGCCAACCTGGACTACACAGCAAGTTCTAGGCCAGGCTGACCTACATAGCAAGACCCTATCTCAAAATAAAAAAGTAAACGTACTTGCTATCCCCAGCTGACTCTCATACCCACAAAGATGGTTAGAGATGAAGAATAAAGGAAAAGTTGGGTGTGGTGTGCACACCTTTAATTCCATCCCTCAGGGAGGCAGGCTGATCCCTGTGAGTTTGAGGCCAGCCTGGTCTACATAGCAAGTTCCAGTCCAGCTGGGGCTATAGAGTGAGACCATGTCTCTAATGATAATAGCAATAACAAGGGAAGACTGACCTGTAATGAGGCTATCCTTTCGTCCCAATCTAATCCATCTTCCCAGCTCCAGGGGCTCCTACTCTCTTGCCTTCTTGACCCTCTCCTTTGATGTACCAGGTGCAGCCTCTGCAGGTATTTGGGGCCCTCCAGCCTTAGGTCTGTATCACCCTTGCCTTCACTCAGATCCGAGACAGATGAAGAATCTGTGGCCTGCCTCCTGCAGGAGTTCAGCAGTTGTCTCATACACCCCTACCAGTCCATGGGCTCCAGTGGAGAGGGAGCCCACTTGCCGGTCTCCATCCCAGCACTCCTCCTCAGCTTCCTCCATGCAGCACTCTGAATCCAGGGAGTCTTCCCTAATTTCTGTACCCACTGATCCTGGAAGCTGGGCTACTCTTCCACGGGGGGGAACTGAGAGTCTAGGAGGAACTGAAGGTATGAGGAGGGGCACTGTCAGGATTGTGGAGGGAGGTGGGTTCTTGGTCACTGTGGGGCAGCACTGTGAGAATGCAGGATCCTTAGGGAGCAAGACTCACCCCTCTGGGAGCTGTTGGTTCTCACTTGGAGCTTCCTGCACCTGGGGTAGAGGGTGCAGCTTGGAACTCTGCAAGGATCAAAGGCACCCAAACACATAGGGTAGCACTCCTCCAGGGTGATAGGAAGCTTCGGAGTAGGACTTCATGATCATTATGACACCTCTCCCTCAAGGCTGGCTGGACCTTTTTTTAGTGGTCACTACTAACACCTTCTGCTGCAACTGAGGATGCCTCAGCCCTGAGAAGCCACTGCCCTACCCTCAGTGACTTGGGCATTTGGTATCTGAGCCAAGACTGATGATATCCTCATCCCCAGTTCTCAGTTCTGTTGTGGAGTCAGCACCTCCCCAGAGGGTCAGCCCTGAAGGAGGACCCATGGCAGACCCTGCTCAGCATCTCTGTCTCAGGGCCATGCTAAGCATCAGTGCCTCTGCCCCAAAACCTGCCAGGTGGCTTCCTTTCCTGTAGGCAGCCACACAGAAAGGCTTCAGATTTGACCAAGCCAGCTGTTAATTAATTGTAGAATGAAGAACATGTTGTGTGTTGAACTTGGTGGGAACCCCTTTGTTCCACTAAGTCCACTGGTTCTCCCAACAGCCTTTCAAGAAAGATCTAGAAAGTTCCACCATCACCCACATTTATATCACAGGAAACAAGCTTAGAGTCCAGAGGGGACCATATGGCAGAGATCTGAACCCAGGACTGTAAGTCTCCAAGGCCCATGCACCTTCCACTTCCCCTTAACACCTTGAACACTTCAGTGTCACACAGTGCCACTACTTACCACACTCACCAGCTGCTCAGAGTTCCCATCTATCCTACCAGAGGGCTGGTTGCGCTGGCTCCATACATACTGGACCCGGTCCCTCTGCCCACAGAATCTGGTCCATGGAGGCCAGAAAAGGCCCAGCCCCATCCCAGTCAGCAGCTCCAAGTCCCAGAAGAGCTGCAGGAGGATGGGGAGCCAGGACATGAGAGGAGGACCCACTCTGAATTCTGTACTTCCTTCCCCCGTGAGCCAGCCCCTACCTTCTCCTGGGCCTGCTGGCTCCATTTCATCTGCAGCAGTACCATAGGTAGCTCCAGCCCTGGGGAACAGCCCCTGCCCTCATGTACCTGGTGTGGGAAGCAAGGGTAGTGTCAGACCCTTGTCTGTCTGCCCACTTTGAAGCAGCACTCAGCCTTCCTCACCTGCTGCAGTGCAGCCCTGAACTGGCCCAGGCCTGCAGGGCACCCAAAGACGAGTTGGTACAGAGTCAAGGCTTGCTTGGAGCTACAAGGGAGACTTAGGCCCCCAGGAGTGGTTGCCTGAGCCATGTAAAGGAAGCAGGGCAGATATCCTTTCCGTCCTCTGTATCTGCCTGTATCACAGGGGCCTCGAGAGGTGGAGGACAAGGAAAGAGGAACAAAAAGCTCTGATCTCAATAATGCAGGGCTGTGACACCTGAGCAGGGACAGGATGCACAGGAGCCTCACAGAGATGCTGAGACAGGTTTCTTGGCCTAGAGGTGGCATATAATGTACAAAGCATGACCCTGTAACATGAGAACTGGGTACGTGTGCCTATTTGCAACCCTAATGAGTATTTGTCTTACATATGCACTGTCCTGGTTTTGTCTTACATATTCAGTGTCCTTTCTGTTGCTGTGATAAAATAACCTGAGAAAGTTACAGTCCATCATTGTGGGAACTTGAGACAAATGATCACAAGACAGCCATCATCAAGAGCAGAGAATGAATGCATGCATGCTTGTGCTCAGGTAGGTTTCTCCACAGTCCAGGGCCCCAAAGCAGAGATTGGTGCCATACTCTTCAGGCTTCAACTTCCCACATCAATTAACGGAATTAAGATAATCCCCCACAGACATGCGCACAGATCAACCTGATCTAGACCATCCCTCCCTGAGTCTCTCTTAGGTAATTCTAGATTGTGTCAAGTTGACAATTGGAACTAACCATCACATGCATATCTGCCCATGTCTAAAAGAGTTTTCCAGCTGAGTTTTCCAGCTTTGTATGGGCTGTGGCGGCAGCAGCAGCTCCCACAGCATAATATGTGCCAGGACTCACACACCTCTGCATATGATTCCTCCTCCTCCACATAGTAGGTTCTGTGATCATACACATTCGTACATCATTATACTGGCTCTAGAGAGTAGCTTGCTCTAACATGGGGCAATGTTCCTCTCATCTGTAGATAGATGACCACACTCTGGGAAAAATGGCCCAGGGATAATCAGTAAGAGGTGAGTGTAAACAGTAGGAGTCCAGCAATGCTAGGCACTGCCTCAGTCCACCTGCAGTACACTGTCCAGGGTCACTCACTGATTCTGCCTACATGCAAGATGCATGCTGTTGTTATACTCTGTTCAGGGTCCAAAGAATTCCCTGAATTGACCACTCGGACACAGAGACTCAGGAAAACCTAGCTGCTTTATTGAGACCGACCGGCCAGGGATGCAGGCAGGCTCGGGAACTGCACTGTGACACAGGGCTGTGGAAACGTAGGGCTTTTAAGCACAAAAACCGCAGAGCAGGGGATTTCTATAGAAACCATAAACAGAAGAACCAGGAAAGGATTTGAACAATCTAGGGCTGAGCACAAAAACCACAAAGCAGGGGATTTCTATAGAAACCATAAGCAGAAGAACCAGGAAAGGATTTGAACAATCTAGGGCTGATTTCCAGAGCCTTAACCTATACAGCCATTGGCTAGTTTACCTGGGGCACAATGTTCTTCCTTTCCTGCCCCAGACCATTTCCATAGAAAGCATAAACAGATATACCAGGAAAGGGTTTGAACAATCTAGGGGATTTCCAGAGTCAGGCAGAGGGCAGCTCTTTCTCAGAGGACAGGGAGGGGGTCTGAGGGGTACTCTCCTTCAACTTGTGTGACATGTAAAAGCTATAGTAAGAAGAAGAAGCAAATATAGATGATAGTCTGCACTACAGTTGGGATGTCAAATGCCCCAAAGGCCATATATAAAAGGCTTGGTCCTCAGGGTTCCTTGGCACTATTGTGAGATGCTGTGAACTTTTAGGGGATGACATATTGTGGAAAGTACTCAGGTCACTGGCAATGTGCTTCTGAAGGGGATTGTGGGATCCCTGCCCTGTTCTGCTTCTGTTTCCTGAAACAGGAAAAGTTTGCTCCAACACATACTCCCTGACATTGCTATCTTGTGCCCTCACCAAAGTCCCAAAGCAACAGGGCAACCCAATCTTGGATGGGAGCCCCCAGAACTGTGAATCAAAATAAACCTTTTCATTCATAAGTTAAATGACTTTGGTATTTCATTACAGTAATAGAAAGCTGACTAACATAGTTTACAATCTTTACAGCCTGTACTCTCATGAGCAGCTTTGCTGTTTGCAGCCTTGTCACCCCTGCGAGAGGATGGTATAAGCTCTTCTCTGTGGTCCCCAAGTGAGAATGGCCTCTCTTTGAAAGAAGGCTGAGCTGGCAGGGTGGGTGGTATATTCATTAACTTCTCTGTTGATGTGATAAAACACCATGACCAAGGTAACTTAGAGATGGAAGAGTTTATTTGCCTTATGGTTCTAGAGGGATAAGAGCCCATGATGGTGGGGAGACATGGCAGGAAGTGGCAGGAACAGAAAGACAAGAGCTCACATCTTTTAAAAATTTTATTTATAATTTTATGTTAATGAGTGTTTTACCTGCATGCATGTAAGTGCACCTGCATTATGCAAAGCCTGCAGAGGCCAAAAGAGGGCATTGAAGCCCCTAGAATTGGACTTACAGATGGTTGTTAGCTGCCGTGTGGGTACTGGGATTTGAACCCAAGTCCTCTGGAAGAGCAGCCAGTGTTTTGTTTTGTTTCTTTTTTGAGACAGGGTCTTCCTGTAGCTCCAACTGTCCTGGAACTCACTAGGTAGACCAGGCTGACCTTGAACTCACAGAGATCCGCCTGCCTCTGCCTCCCAAGTGCTGGGATTAAAGGTGTGCACCACCACACCCGGCTGCAGCCAGTGCTCTTAACCACTGAGCCATCTCTCCAGTCTCAAGAGCTCACATCTTAAGCAGAAATCTGGAGAGAGAAGCTGAAAGTGGGAACAAGGCTTATGAACTTTCAAAGCCCACTCCCAGGGATGTGCTTCCTCCAGCAATGGCCACACCTCCTAAAGGTTCCATAACCCTCCCCAAACAGCACCATGAACAGGGACCAAGTGTTCAAATAGCTGGAGGTGACAGCGACACTTCCACTGAAACCACCACAGGGCCCTCGAGTTCAATGTGGTGCTATGTTGCTTAAGTAAATAATGAAGGACTGGCGCATCCTCTCCTGGAGCATTGAATACTTACCCACCTTGGAATGTCAGGGACCATAATGACAATGGAGTCTCCTGATCTTAGAGCCATGGTTTCTAAAACTCAAAGGTCACACAGCTGGTATATGCAAAGAGATTCAAATTCTGAACTTTTTCCATTTCAAAGTTCATGTCTCCTCCCCTACAGTGACATCCTGGCAAGCTATGGGTATTTACTATCCACATGGCCACCTAATGGTGTGACTGTGAACATGGGTAGCTGTGCATGCACATGATATGTTTCTGAGGGTGCTCATGTGTATGCAATTATGCACATAAGGCTGTATTATCTCTCTCTCTCTCCCCCCCAGGCATGGGGTCCTGTGTCACCAGCTTTTAGAATGACCAAGAAGATACCTGATCATTCAGCACTACCAAACCCAGAGGAAGGAAACAAGAAGGATGGGCATGGTCTGTACCCCTTCTCAGTGGCTCTTCACACTCTGTAGGATCCTATGTGGATCCACAAAGTATCTCACATAGGGGTCACAGGCCACACCTAGCACATAGACTGAGCAGAGGGTAGGGACCAGTGTACATGGGTCATCATTCCCATTTCAAAGTTTCCCAGACAGCACCAGGGAATGATCAGTTGGGGCAGTCCAGGGATGTAGGTATAAGGACAGAACAAGGACCCTGACTGGGCCCCATGTTCTAAGCAGCCCAGCCACCACACCAGTACTAGGAAGCAACACACACAAGGAAGCCTTAGGCAAATGTAGAGTTTATTTCTTATGTTTTGATACTGCTGAAGTCTGGAGAACAGGCCCAGGCTCCCACTGCTTGAGCAAGGCACAGCTGTGGCCCAAGACTGATACTTGCCAAAGGGCAACTTCTGGCCTGATGAACCCTGGCTGGGACTGGGCAGTATGTAGGTGGCTAATCTCCAGTGAGCAGGACTGGCGGGCAGGCCTCAGGTGGGATGCAGTGACTTTCATGCTCTACCAGGCCTGCTGGGCACTGGCAGCCTGGAACACAGGGCCTCACACAGTGGGCTGCCAGCTCCCCCAGGGCGATGTGCTGGTTGAAACAGGTGCGGGGACAAGGTGGTCCACACTCATCAAACACGAAGCCTCGGTCGAGGGGGCAACCCACCACTGCAGAGAGAGTGGAAGGCAATGTCATGGGGATCCACTGGCATCTTTCTAGTCACCATGTTCACTGTGCCCCATCCTGTCCTGACATGAGTCTGCTGGATGCCCTTCCTTTCTGTACTAGCCCCTCCCACAAAGTGCACTGGTATCCCCTCCTCACCACAAAGAGCCGGGCCCCTCCAGACAGGTGTCACTCCTGCTTGGCGACAGTGACTGGCATAGGCTTCCAGGGCATCACAGAGACAGGTGTCAGCTGAGGAGCCTGGGCCACAAGCACACAGGTCATATACACAGGCAGCAAAGAAGGGTTCTGGTGGCACAACAGCATGGCAGCGACTGAATGGGGAGGTCTTCAGCAGCCCACACCGGGTGTTGGCCTCACGCCTGGCACGGTAGCCTGCTGCCCGGCATGGATCTACCTCTCGGCCTGCAGAACAAGGCCGGCCAGGCCCCGGCCCCTCAGGGACCTGCATGGAGAGAGTAACCATGATGTGAAAACATCAGGGCAGAATCTCCCTTGGAGAGCAGGGCATGCTCCTGTAAATACTCACCCACGCTCCTGTAAACAACCCTAATGAAATTGATTGGGTCACAGGAAAAAGACAGGAAAGTAGAAGAGAGGGTGAGTCGGAAAAGGAAGTAGATTACCGGGAGGGGGACAAGAGAGGCTAATGGGGGGAAGTGAATATGGTCAAAATACATTATGTATATGTATGAAAATTCCATAATGTAACCCATTACTATGCACAATGAATATATGCTAATAAAAACATAAAAAGAACAGGGCTTGGTGGAGCATGCCTGTGATCCCAGCACTCAGGAGGGTGAGGCAAGGAGGATCTAGGCCAGGCTGGGCTACATAGGAAGCTCCAGGCCAATCTGGGCTACACTGTGAGACCTTGTCTCAAAAAAGAAAACACAAGCCAGGTATGGTGGCAGATGCCTTTAATCCCAGCACTTGGGAGGCAGAGACCGGTGGATCTCTGAGATGAAGGTCAGACTGGTCTATACAGTGAGTTCCAGACCAGCCAGGACTACATTCGCTTTGTTGTCGTCCTGCAGATGAACTAAGGCCCAGAATAGTTAGATGACGTGTTCAAGGTCACACAGTCAGTGAGTGACAAAGCAAGGTTTAGGGTTTCAGGTGACAAGATTTCTTCCAACAGGCTATCCTAGCACCAGGACAGGCAAAAAAAAAAAAAAAAAAAATCTCCTTAAAAACCCAAAAGCCCATCTCCCCCCCCCCCTTCCTTAGCAGCACGTTGTCCCCCGTATTCATAGACAATGTCTTCCCCTGGAAATTTTTTTTTTTTTAAAAGAAAAAAAAAAAAAAAAAAAAAATCTCCTTAAAAACCCAAAAGCCCATCTCACCCCCTCCCTTCCTTAGCAGGCAGTTGTGCCCAGTTCCTCTAGTCTCCTCCAGCTTTTGACTCCCAAGCCACTCACCTGCCAGCTATTACCAAAGGCAGCCTCTGTAGGCAGGAGCTGCCCATCTGGACCCTGCAGATCATCCTGGGCAAAGCCATTGAAGTTCCCACAGAGCCCACAAGTGTGGCCCCGGTAGGAACCTGGAACGCTCACCTCCACCTGGGACTGTCCATCCCACAGCACCTGTGCAGAGAGGCCTAGGAGTAGGGAGGGGAAGGAGAGGGACCCCTAGGAGCCCAAGGTCCATCAGGGTCATGGGTGCTGTGTTGGCATCACCCCATGCTGCAGGAAGAAGGATAAGTGCACACTCCCCATAGAAGGGTTATTGCCCTGGCCCATGCACATATAGTACAGCCTGGGCAAACACAGATGGCAGGGAGGGCTGCCCATGGCTCCTGGGCATCTTTCAACTGGGTTCCAGGTAGAATGAACCCACTTCCTGAGAGTCACTGTCTCATGATCCAGGGCCTTACAGAGAATACAACACAATTAGAGCCTAGATCAGAAGTGCACTCAAGCGTTACTATATGGATTTATAAATTGTGACTCTGGCTAGGGGAAAAGAGACAAGTCACTCTTCCATGTGGGAGTCAGAAAGACCCTCAGAGACCACCTTGGACACCTTAGTTGACATCTTCTCAATCCCTACTAATTCTCTCCCCACTTTATAGATGAGCAAATTGAGGCCCAGAAAGGGTTGGTGATGTCCCAGAGTCTCAGTATATGAATGTCTGAGCCAAGATCGAAAGCAGGCTCAGAACAGAGGTCTCTAACCCTGACTCAATTTGGGGGATGCAAGTGCACACACTCTTTTCTGCTACCTCCTTCCACCAGGCAAGAACAGGCACCCTGGCTCGACAGAGAAGCCTAAGCAGGCCTGAGGCTCCCAGGCCCACCTCATCTTGCCCTCTGGCCACACCTGAATCCCAGGCTGGGCATGTAGGATCACAGTGTGTCCTCTCAGCTCCACAAAAAGTAATGGCTCCTGCAAGAATGGCAAGGCCACTGGGCGACCATCCACCTAGAGAAGAGGGGCAGGAGGAGGGAGCATGTTGGGGCTGACAAACTACACAGTACTGACTTTCCCTGGGTCCTCAGCTTACCATGACTATCCTTCCTTGCAGCAGCTGCACAGCCAGAGTTCCCAACAGCACTGACACCTCTTGGGTCCAGGACACACCCCTCCGGCCCCGATCATCATTAGTCACATGCACACTGTGGGCAGCAAGGGCTCAGGCACCAGTGGTCAGAGGAGCAAGGAATAGAGGTCAGGGAGAAGGGAGGGAAGTGCACACCTGAAGTCCTCGCCATGGCAGTCCTTGGCCAGCACATAGCTGCAGCTCCCCTGGAAGTGCAGCAGGCGTCCATCGAAAGTGCGGTAATGGGGATCCCCAAAGGCCATGCAGGAAGCCGGCCGCGGCAAACAGCGGGGACAGCAGCTGCCGGGACTTAGGGCAGGGGCCTCGTCCTGGCCTCAGCCCCAAGAACTGTCAGACACACTCCACCAAGCCCCAGGGGACTATTCTAGAAGGCCGAGCATCATCAGGCTTCTCTGACCCTTGTACCCAGGCTCTCTGTGAGCCCTCTGGTGGCCCACCCTGGAACATCACCATCCTTAGCTCCCCTAATGGCTCCTGGATGGCTGCATAACTCCCTCTCTTCTCCCTGAGATGGCAGTGCCCTCGTGTTTACCCCACCTTGAACTAAGGCACTCACCGGGCCACATGAGAGCGGCCTGCAGCGCTGGCTCTGGCAGCGCACAGTGCCAGCTACACAGGAGCAGCTGGTACAGGCATCCACAATCCAGTGCTCCCCAGAGGCCACCTGGCGTCCCTGATGCATGCACCACTGAGTAGGGGCTGAGGGACAAGAGACAGGGAGGTTCAGTTGGCTCCACCCCAATATACACCAGTCCTCACTTACCCTTCCTCCATCATCATGGCCCAAACCTTGGCATCGCTCACAGCAGCTGCCAGCCTCAGGAACCTTCAGCCAGCCATGAGGGCAGGGGAGCACTTGGCACTCCTCGAGGTGACACTCCACATGACCCCGCTGTGGACAGACATCACTGCTGTAGGGATTTCCTGTAGGGTCTCGGTCACTGGCCTCAAATTTTTGTGGGCCTTCTGGGTAGGGTCATGGGCAGTGCACCCTGTCTATTCCAGTCCCACAAGAACACGCACAACACAGTGCATGGAAGAATGAAGCCTAGGCCTCAATTCCTTGCCCAGCCCAATGGTGCCTCTGCCCCTCATAGAGCCCATGTTTGCTGGTGGATGTTGGCCTCTCCTCCTTCGACCCGCCCTCTCGTCCCCAGATTACATGACAGGTGCAGGCAATGCAAGTGTTGCTGGGGTCCCGCCAGCTCTCTCCATCTGCCACTCTTCTACCCATGTCCTCCACCACACATTCTAAGGAAGAGAAATGGATGGGCAGGTACTGTCCTTCCAGCAGTTCACTGCCTCATTCCACCAGCACCCTGAGGGTGTTAATTTCTTCAACCAGCACCCAGAAAGCCTGGTGAATCTGGGGGGTATTAGGCCTTGCACTGATACTCTATACAGAACCCTGGAAACTCTAAAATCCAGCACCTGGAACCCTCTACCAGACCAATTGCCAGCTCCTCGGTGCAATACTGACAGTGGGCTTGTGGCCCACAAGCCCCCTGAAAACTCGCAGGCTTAAAGATCCAGTTCTCATTACCTATTCCTTTACCTCACAGGTTTCCTCTCTAGCCCAGTGAATAGTCTTTCGATTTCCACAAAAGAATGGAAGCTGCATTCTGACTGTATACCCCAGGGCACCCACAAAGGCCATCACCTCCCAACTCCATCCCTGGGTTCCTCTCTGATGGAAAGGCCAAGGCTGACCACTTACCCTCACACACGGGGCAGCAACTGCCAGGGGGTGTGTGGCGCTCCAGTAGGGGACAGCTGAGCTCAGGACAGGCCCGATGAGTACAGAGCCATGTCAGGTTCTGCCATGGTCATGTGACAACAGGTAGAAAACAGCAGATCTCAAGGTGTTATCAGGGTAGAGTTGGAAGTAGGCATAGAAATGACATTCAGGAAAACTGGGTGAATGTCAGGATGACACTTCAGGAGCTGCTGTGGGAAGAGGCTTATCCACAGGTCATGGAGAAGGATAAAGGGGGCTCTGAGGGTCCCCAAGATAGGACTCACCTGGCACTGGCAGGTATAACAGGGGTCTGGCGACACCAGCTCAGACCCCAGCAGGCCCTCTGTGCAGTTGCTCAGCGCCTCTGTGAATGCAGATCTCAGTGTTGGAAGTGAAGAGGGCAGGGAACAGGAACTGCATCCCTCTCTGACCTCAGATTTCTCAGGCCCAACGAATACCTATATTCCCAGAACCTTGACTCTGAGGAGGGTAAGACCTCGCTCTCTTTTTCTCTCTGGTTCAGCAAAGAAAAGTTTAGACTTTTTTTGGGGGGGTGGCTCAATCAGAAGGATAAATGAACAATTCACAAATATGCAAATCATCCTTACATAAAGACCATGCTAATCTCTACATCAAGTATGCTTAGTGTTTTTAAAAAATTATGAGTGTATTGCCTGCATGTATGTAAGTGCAACCTGTGTCCTGTAACATTCTCAGAGGCTGGAAGAGGGTGTTGGATTCCTCTGGAACTGGAGTTACAGTTGTTGTTAGCTGCCATATGGATGCTGGGAATTGAACCCAGGTCCTCTGCAAGAGCAGCCAGTGCTCTTAACCACTGAGCCATCTCTCCAGCCCCACGTTTAACATCTGAAAGCAACTTTCCTAGGCTACTAAGTGTGTATATGGGGGTGGGTGGGTATTGTTTGGAAACTGACACAGCACACCTCCCTCAGCCTGAGGTCACTGAGAACAGTCAGGCTGCCTGGCCTGTTCTCCTTGTCACTTCTTTTTATATAATTTGACAGAACAGCAGATTGAGGCATCCCAGGTTCCAGTCCTAGTCCCTGCTCCATCACTCAATGCCTTTGTCACTTTGACAGATCAACTGACTTATCTGAGACTCAGTTTATTCATATGTAAAAAGAGAATCATCCCACTTTACCTGACGGGGTCACTGTGAAAATTAAATGAGATACAATTTATTAGAAGCACCAAGTAGAGCGTGGTATGCATAAGGTGCTTAAAAGAGTCCTCTTCTTCTCACCCTTTGAAGTTCATCTTTGCAAGAATATATATCCCTGGGACTGGAGAGATGGCTCAGTGGTTAAGAGCAGTGGTTGCTCTTGCAGAGGACAGGGGTTCAATTCCCAGCACCCAAATGGCAGTTAACAACTGTCCTAACTCCAGTTCCAAGGGATGCTCCAACACCCTCTTCTGGTCTCCACAGGCATTGCACAACATGGGTGCACTTATGTACATGCAAGCAATACATTCACACACTTAAAATAATAAAAGAATATATATCCCTGTCGATGGCTGTGATAGTTGTGCAACATAATTATACTGAATACCACTGAGCTGTAACCTAAACTAAGACAAGAAACTCTATGTTACTACAGAATCATATTATTTGACAATTAGAACTTGAAAAAACAAGAACCATGCCTACAGCTCGAGCTTGCATGGCAAAGTGGGACCATTGCTGAAACACTGCTTCCACAACAAAGGGAAGATAGCTGTGTTGGGTAAACTGGAAGTCTTAAATCTAGGAAACAATTGGCATATCTTTCAATATTTATAATAAAATATATAACTTTCTGGCCAGGTGTGGTGGTGCATGCCTTTAATCCCAGCACTTGAGAGGCAGAAGCAGCTAGATCTTTGTGAGTTCAAATCCAGCCTGGTCTACATAGTGAGTTCCAGGCCAGCTGGGGCTACAGGAGAGCCTGTCTTAAAAAGACAAAACAAAACCAAAAAATATATAACTTTCTTTACCTCTCCACCCTCTTTATAAATTCTTATTCAAAGAAAAGGAAAGAACAAAAATAGCTTTCCCTGTCCCTGCAGCTGAGCCCATTCAACAGCCCTCTCAGGGCCTCACTTCAATTGCCAGCCTGCAGCGCCACCTGCTGGACAGGATGCACCACACACTGTATTCAGCTTTCCAGCTCTGTGTGGCTCACTTTGGAGCTGTGCAAGGATCACCCACCTGGACAAGAGCTTCCAGAATGGTCTACTTGAGTCAAGAGAGGGCTGGGGTGGGGGTGGCAGGGGGGTGCTGGAGAGATGGCTCGGCGGTTAAAAGCACTGGCTGCTCTAGCAGAGGACCCAGGTTTGGGTCCCAGTGCCCATATAGCAATTAACAACCGTCTGTAACTCCAGCTCCAGGGGATCTGACACCCTCTTCTCACCTCCACCAGCATTGCATGACATGGGTCCACTTATACACATGCAGGCAACACACTCGTACATATAAAATAAAATAAATATTTTTTTTTTAAAGAGATAGGGCAATGGAGGAGAGGTGACCAACTCTTCTAGCATTTCTCTGGGGGGTGCAGCCTGGCCCTCCTAGTTTATATACCCCACATCCTGGAACTCACGGGCACAGGTGGGACAGCAGCGCTGGGGCCCAGGAGGCAGAAGCTGGCTGGGTGGGCAGCCCACCAGACTGGGACACAGTTGCCGGTGACATTGAAGGCTGGGAGGCCCCTCAGGCTGCAGCTACAAGGATGAATGAGCAGAGGTGGGTCCCAGGCCATGGAAGCTGAGTTGTTCCCTTTCCCAGGCTGTGAGTCCTCCATTTGTCTGCTGCACCTTGGTCTTTGTGTAGTGTGGGCATGTCTAGAGACAACTCAGTGTCCCCTCTGGACTTGCTCCCCACCCCATGCCTTAATCCAGAGATTATATCTCCTACTTTTTCAAATTACTTGGTTCTGAACCATTATGTGACCTTTGACCCTTTGGTATTCTCACGCTATCCTCCCCTCTCCTCTGCCTGTCTCCTGACCTATGACATCATTTATCATTACTTTTTTTTTTCCTGAGGCACCATCTTCTGTAGCCCAGGTTGCCCTTAAATTTGATATGTATAGGGCTGGAGAGATGGCTCAGCAGTTAAGAACACTTGCTGTTCTTCCGGAGGACCTGGATTCAATTCCCAACACCCACATAGCAGCTAATGACCATCCATAACTCCAGTTTCAGGGGATTCAGTGCTCTCTTCTGACCTCTATGGGCACTACATGACATAGGTACACTTACATACATGCAGGCAAAGCACTCATATACAGAAAATAAAAATAATAAAAAATTTTTTTTGGTATTTTTGAGACAGGGTCTCCCTATAGCCCCAGCTGGCCTGGAACTCACTATGTAGACCAGGATAACCTCAAACTCACAGAGCTCCACCTGTCTCTACCTCCTGAGTGCTGGGACTAGAGGCATGTGCCACCAAGCCTGGCTATAAAAATATTTTTTAAGACTTGATATGTAGCTGAGCATGGTGGTGCATGCCTTCAATCCCAGCACTTGGGAGGCAGAGGCAGGAGGATCTCTGTGAGTTCAAGGCCAGCTGTAACTACAGAAGACCCTGTCTCAAAAAGACAAAAAAGAAAAAAAAAACGACATGTAGGCAAGGGTGGCCTTGAATTCCTGACTCTCCTGCCTCTACCCCCCCGCCACTATTAGGATTATAGGTGTGCACCACCATACCAGCTTAAGTGGTGCTGAGGACCAAACTCAAGGTTTCCTGCATACTAGGCAGGCAATCTATCGACTGAGCTACATCCTTAGCCTTCACCATTACCTTTCAAACACAATGCACACACTTCCCACATGGGTCCCCTACCACCCCTGCAAACCTCCATCCCAAAAGCCAGCCAGGGGAGTCTGCCCATAGCCTCTCCATAATCAGACCCTATCTAAGCCCAAGCCTGGTTCCACTGACCCAAACCTAGCCTTAGTCCTGGGTCTAGAGACACAATCTGATTTCCATGCTGCCCACTCTTTGTAGTGCCCAACCCCATGCTCTGCCATCTCCTACCTCACAGATGCACACTTCACAGGGGTCTGCCCCAGGCTGGAAGCTCTCTCCAGGCTCATACTTCTGGCCCTCATGCTCACAGTCTTAAAGTGGGGCAAGAACAGAGCAGGGCAAGGGAAATTTCAGGCAGGCAGCAATGCCTAATGAGAGGCTTCTCCACCCTCCAGCTCCTGCCCTCCATCCTGGGACTAGGGAGTGTAAGTGTACAACAATGAAGGCCACTTCCTTGAGCCTCCCCCACTGCCACCCTGCCCACCACAGAAGCAAGGAGGTGTGAGTGCCCCACCCCTGGGATCCCTCCCACCCCAGGCTCCCAGTACCAGAGCATCGAGGGCAGCAGTCACTGGGCCCCTGGTGGGGCCGAGCACAGGAGATGACACATTGGATTCGGGCACAGGTGACAACACCCTCATGACACATGCAGGAGGAGCAGGGGCTGTCAGTGGGCACCCAGCTGCTGCCTTCAGGATGCTCCTCCCCATGAGCCAGGCAGCCTGTGTCCCGGGTGGGCACGAATAAGCTTTAAGTCTGAGATCTGGGTATTTGCCACTCCCTTGTGGTCAGTAGGATTTGTGGGCAATAGGAGGGGGTTCCGCAGGGATATGGCAGGGAAATGGGTTACAGCAGAACTCCTGTTTGTAGTGGTGAGGGGGAGCTACTTGCTTCTTAGACCAAGCTGCAAGCAGCAGGCACTGTCTGTGAAAGCCCAGCACACAGCAGTCAGTATGCAGCAGGCATGTAATAAATCCACAGGATGAATGTACGGCTCTCACTAACCACAAGGCCCAGGTATCTCTCTGAGTCAGTCTACTCCTATACTCAGTAGGAATTTAGACCAGTCCTGCCTTGTTCACAGGATGAGAGATGCTGGGTTGGTTTGGAGTTAAGTATACAGTGTGTGGGATGAGGAGCAGCAGGTTGGCTAGGAAAGGCTGAAGTTCTAAAGCCAGTGGCTAGGATACATATCTTGATGCTGCTGCCCACTAGCTGAGTGACCAGGCAACTTATGCTACATCTTTGGGTCTCAACTTTCTCATCCTTAAAAAATGGGATTAAGGGAAACAGTGAGATGGCTTAGTGGGTAAAGACACTTGCTGCCAAGCCAAATAACCTGATTTGGATCCCCAGAAACCACAGGTGGAGGGAAAGGACTCTTACAAGTTGTCCTCTGACCTCCACATGCATGCCATGATGTGTAACACCCCACCCTAATAAATGAATAAATGTAATTAAAAATAGGAGTAAAGACAGCACATACAGGTAAGATTATTGCTTTGCTTAAATGAGGCAATATATGCTCAGGGTCTGGCACACTGTATATACAATGCTCCATAAATGTTAATTGTCATGATTGTTACTATGAGTGGAGAATGGTTAGGAAAAGGGGAACCTAGCCAGTACCCCGGGCTGGGCTATGCTGAAACAGGAAGAGCTGAATGTGGACTAGACAATTAAGGACTGAGTTGAGGGAGGGACAGTAGGGAGAGCAGGGAAATGGGGCAGATGGAGAGATACAGGGTCAGGCATACCTCTGCATCGAGGACAACAGCTCCCTGGCTCTGTGACCTGAAGCAGGCAGGGCAGGGATGGGCACCGCACCTGCACACAGCTGACTTGGCCAGCCTAAAGGAGATGCAGGGCCAAAGGCTTGCCACAGAGGCCTGGACCCAGAAGCATGCTGGCCCACCCCTTGCCCAGCCTTGCTCCTGGGTACCTGACAGCTGCAGTGTTCACAGCTGCCTTCAGGGCCCTCAAATTCCTCCCCATCTTGGTACTCCCGGCCCTGAGAGCGGCAGCCTGTGGGGGACACACTTCCTGTGAGAAGAGGGCTTGTGCTACCCTGCCCTACCATGCCCAACCTCAGACCTGGCAGGAGATGAAAGGGAAAGATGTGCACGGGGTCTGGGCATACAGAAGGTAGCTTACTGTGGCAGATAGGGCAGAAACAGGGGCCTGGAGAAGGGTGTGTGCAGAGAGCTGGGGGACACGGTTTCTTCTGGCAGTGCATGGAACCTTCCTGAGGGAGAGATCACACTGCTATTGGATTCCCATGTCACCTTCAAACCAAGCTGCACTGCCCCTTGGCAGGCACCCTACTAAGCTTGTCAAGCCCCAAACTCTCTCCCTTGACCTGAGAGACCTGATCCTGGCCCTGTCCCACCAGTTGTCACAGGCAGTGTACCCCTTCCCACCTAGGTAGAGACAATGTCTTCTAGGCCTGAACAGAGGATAAGGACTAAGAAGATACAAAGACCCTAAAGGTTCCATCTCACCTGGCAGGTACAGAGGGAGCAGGTGGGGTCAAGAGGGTCAGGAAGGGTCTCTCCAAGGGAAGCAGTGACCCCGTGGTACAGACATCCTGGCAAAGTGAGGAATGCAATGGTAGGGCCACTGTCAACACAGCCCCCAATTGTTATATGTGGCCCTACAGCCATGCCTGGGGCTCCCTCCATCTACAAGCTTAGGGGGAGACAGCATGGAGGAGAGAGGCGGAAGGTAAGAAGTCATGGGCCACAGGTTTCTGTAGAGATTTGCATGCATGAAGGGGCTGGAGGACAGCAGACACTGTGGGAAGAAGGTGAGGGGAAAGACAAAGAGGAATGTCCTGACTGTGTGGGAAGAGGAGAGGGTGGCACAGGCATGCTGAACATGTGGCCAGGTGGGCTGGGACAGGGAGGGTGGACTAGAGAAGCTGCCCCTCCTGGTTGGTGACTCCAGGATACTGAACAGTTTACAGGAGGGTTGAGTGGCATTTAAGCAAGGCAAAAAGACAGTTTACAGTTTAGAAGACAAAGGACCAACTACTTGGTGAATGTAACAATCTGGTGTGAAGTAACAGTAGGGACAGAGAAGAGGGCAGGGCTCAGATTTGGGAATTCGATCAGGGTGTGGGGAGAAGAATCTGTGTCTGTGTGTTTATCTCAGAGCATGGTAATGTGTCTCAACTGCATACAAACCTCCTGCCCACTGGTGCCCAGACCCTTGGGAGTCCCAACAGAGGTAAGGGTAAGGCAGGTGCCATCCTACCCTGGCAAGTTGGGCAGCAATGCCCAGGTACAGTGAGTGGGTGGCTGCAGCTGGGAGGCTCACAGGGCTGGTGGGTGCAAGTCACAAAGCCCCCAAGGCAGGTGCACAGATTACAGGGTTCCCGGGGGTGCAGGAACTCCTGGCTGCTTAGGTAGGATGTCCCCAGATACTCACAGCCTATCAGAAAGGACAAAGAAGGAGGGCAGAAAGGAGACAGATGAAAGCCATCATTCTCTGAGTTTGGCCTGACATGAGGCCACAGCCTCAAAAACCTGGCATCTGTGGGGCTTGGGGGTAGGGTAGGGTCCAGGCCCTTGGCAAAGGAGTCTCAGTGGGTGGGGTTTGTGCTGGCCAAAAGGCAGGCTTTCTCCCCTGCAGCTTGCAAGAAATCCCTTTATCCATCTATAGTGAAAATCCTCAAGGCTCTGACCCTGGGATTTGATGCTCAGCAGGCCACTGCGAGAAGGTACCAATTCTCCTAGTTGAGGGTAGGGGACATGGTGCTATAGGTTCAGAGTACCCTTTCTAGTGCTCTGGCAAGCCCTAGTTGATTAAGAAGGGCAGTTCCCCTGGGCTCCTCTTTGACACCTGCATGATCTCTTTTTAGAAAAGACAGAGTAGACTGGGCGTGGGGGTGGGTGCACATCTTTAATCCCACCACTCAGGAGGCAGAGGCAGAAGGGAGGATCTCTGTGAATTTGAGGCCAGCCTGGTCTACATAGTGAGTTCCAGGCCAGCTGGGGCTACAGGAAGACTCTGTCTCAAACAAACAAACAACAACCAAACAAACAAACATTAAAAGGTGTGTGCCACCACACCCTACATGTGGGTTTTGAAACAGTATCTCATGTAGCTGAGCTGACCTTCAACTCCTGATCTTCTTGCCCAAAGTTCCCCAGCCCTGGAATTACAGGCATGTGCCACCATATCCAGCAACATTGTATTTTAATTGTGTTTTATGGTACTCTTCTATTCCTGGCAAATCTAATTTTCCATTTACTCCATCTAGGGGGTTGGTGGGATGGTTCAGTGGGTAGAAGCACTTGCTGCTGAACCTGACAAGTTGAGCTTGATCCCCAGGACCCACATGGCAGAAAGACAGAACCGATTCCTAAAAGTTGTCCTCTGACCTCCATGTAAATAAATTTAAACTAGGGTGTTTATTTGAAGAAAAGTACTAAATAAATAAAACTAGAGCTGGTAGAAAGTGTATAGTAAAAATGCTAAAATAAGTTGAGTTTGCTGATTGGAGTCTGTAATTCCAACATTTGGGAGGTGAAGGCAGAAAGATCAGGAGTTCAAGGTCATCCTCTGCTAAAGAGCAAGTTTGAGCCAACATGGGCTACATGAGGCCCTGACTCAGAAACAAAACAGGGGCTGGAGAGATGGCTCAGCCATTAAGAACACTGGTTGCTCTTGCAGAGGACCTGGGTTTCACTCCCAGCACCCACATAGTGGTTAACAACTGTCCTTTCCTCCAGTTCCAGGGAATCTGCTGCCCTCTTCTGACTTCCTCGGCATTGCATGACATGGGTGCACTTATACACATGCAAGCAATACATTCATACATGTTTTTTGTTTTGTTTTGTTTTTAAAAAAGGCCACCCTTGTTATACAGTGAGTTCCAGGGCCAGTTAGAGTTACAAGGTGAGATCCTGTCTCAAAAAAAAAAAATTACTTTTCTTGGGGCTGGAGAATTGGCTCAGTGGTTAAGAGCACTGGCCTCTCTTGCAGAGGACCCAGGTTCAATTCCCAGCACCCACATGGCAGCTAGCTAGCAACTATCTGTAACTCTAGTTCCAAGGGAATCTGACTCCCTCTTCTGAACTTTGCAGGCATTGCATGACTCAGATGCATGTTCATATATGCAGGCAGTACACTCATACACATAAAAAATAAAAATAATGAATAAAATATTAAAAATCACAGTTCCAAGATAATAGAAGAGTGACTGAATGAAAAAGGAGTGAACTATGTTGAACTCAATTCTTTTTTATGGTAGTTAAAATTAAGCCCAAAGTGTGGGGCGTGGTGGTACAATGCAGTACCAGGACTTTGTGTAGATCTCTATGAGATCCAGGGCAGTCTGGACTACATAGGGAGTACAAGAGGAGCTGGGGCTACAGGGAAACCCTGTCTCAAATCCCCTCCCCCCAAATGAAGCCCAAAGTGATTAGGTTAATTTGCCCAAGTTCACACAGCCCAAGAAAGAAGACAGAAGAACATTCAGGTGTTCACACAGGCTTTTTTTCCTACTGTAAAAACTGTTTGACTATTTACTCTCTAGGACAGTGAAGGGGATGCTGATTCAGCTCTCCTGTTAACACCCCACCCAGCGCCAGTGTCATCGTGTTCTCACACTCCTCACTCACCATCACAGGCAGGACAGCAGTCATCCCTGGCAGGAAAGGGACACTGTGCAGGAGCACAAGCCTTGGGCTCACAGTTGACACTGCCCTCCCAGCAGAGGCACACGTGGCATGGGACATTGGGTGATGGGAAGCGCTCCCCACTGGCAAACTCCTTCCCCTGGTACAGGCAGCCTAGGGAGAAGGGCAGGGGCTGGGGACCCTGGTGGCTGTCTCCTATATTCTTACTGAGCAGCACCCCCACATGAGGAGTGGGCTTGGAGAAAGGAGAACCTCTGGGGTGGCACTTTCTTTTGGGAGGGGAGCTGGGGTGCCGAGAAGTGGGGGCATCACCAGGACAGTACCATCGCAGGAGGGGCAGCAGGGGCCCCGGCGTGGGTGGGCGCAGGGTGCAGGCAGGCAGGGCAGTCGCTGGCAGGACACAGAACCATCCAGGCAGAGGCAGCGGCTGCAGGGGTCTCCCGGAGGGAAAAAGTGCTCCTGGTGGCGGACTGGCACTGATTCACCAGGTTGCTGGCAGCCAGCAGGGGCATCTGCAGAGAGACAGTGCATCACCAGAGGCCAGGAAGAACACTCTGGGGAGCCCCAGAAGTGGAGCCCGAGGGAGCAGCTAGTACCCCAACACTGCGGGCAGCAGTCTCCTGGAGTCAGGACAGGCTGCAGACAGGTCAGTGGGGGGCAGCGGCGCACCAGGCACTGCACGTTTCCATTCTGCAGATGGACAGACAGGATGGATTAGTGCAAAGTGACCCTTTTCCCACCTCCCCTCTTCTCCAAGTTGCACACTCACCAGACAGCGACACAGGCGGCAGGGATCAGTGGGATGGGGAAAGTCCACTCCGTTGGGGTACTCTTTCCCGCCAAAGGCACAGCCTGGAGAGCGGGGCAGCTGTAGGACTCAGGGAGGTCTGACTGTCCCCATGGAATAAGTACTGTTGGGGAGTCAGCATCCAAAGGGTGCCCCTCCCCCCAGGCAGGCCACCTCACCACTGCAGTTGGTCCTGCAGCAGGTGCTGGGCAGGGGGTGTCCACAGGCAGCACTGGGGCAGGCCCGGGGCTGGCAGTGAGCTTGGCCTTCCTGACACAGGCACTCCTGGCAAGGGTCTCTGGGATGAGGAAAGTGCTGCCCATCCACAAATACCTGTGCCTCTAAGATGCAGTCTGGGTAGCAGACAGTGGGGGCAAGAGTTGGGGGCTGACAAGGCCAAGTGAGACCTAGAGCTTCTCTGCCCCTAGAATCCAGAGCCACTAGAGCCACTGAGAAGAGCCAGCTTGGGAAGAGGGGGCTGTGTGTGTAGGAGTGTGTTTTGCTCTCATAAGTGTGTACATTTGAGTACACATGCAGGCAGATGTGTGTCTCTGATGGTGAGATCAAGAGTTCACATAAGTGTGAGCCTGTGACACATCCCAGTGCAGCACTCTCCATGTATGCAGGGATCATGGACCATCACACCCCCATCCCATCTCCCACATGGCACTTGTGAATATTTGTTGTATGAACCTGAGTTACACAGGTGCCTATCTGAGTTCTTCTGAGAATTGTAAGTGAAAATTGTAAGATAAGAGAGAAGGGTGGTGTAGTTACTCAAAAGGATAACAAATTTCTATCCTCCCCCACCTGCCTGCCCTTGTGAGTTCCAGAGAGTTCTGGCTCTGTAGGACCACAATACAATTCAAGCTGGGCATGGTGGCACATGCCTTTAATACCAGCTCTCCTGAGGCATAGGCAGGCAGATTTCTGTGAGTTCAAGGCCAGCCTGGTCTACATAGTGAGTTCCAGGCCAGCCAGGACTACAGGGAGACCCTGTCTCAAAAAGACCAAAATACAATTCAGAAAACCATTGCTTTTGTTGGGCCTACAGGCTGTAGGATAGCAGGGTCTGGACCATCAGGTCAGTCAGATATAGTCAGCACATACCTGGGCACCTGGGGCAGCACTGGCCTGGTCCATTCTGGGGCTCAGCACAGGTCGTCAGAGGGCAGTTGACCAAGGAGCACCTCACAGTCCCATCCTGGGAGCAGGGGAGAGGTTATGGGGTGGGCCCAGGAGGGGCTCAGCAGGACAGCTGTAAGCCTAGAAATATACCTCACAGTGGCAGGTATGACAAGGGCTGTCCACATCCGTGAAGTTCTGTCCATTGGCATACACTTGGCCATGGTAGGTGCAGTTCTCACAACTGGGGCAGCAGGCACCTGGGCAGGGAAGGCTGGTCAGGGTGGGACGGGCAAAGCCAAAGAAGAAAGGCAAGATCTGGCTGGGCACTCACCAGGTGGCTTGGCAGGATGTTGGCAGGGGGCTGGGGAACAGAGCATAGCCCGGCACACAGGCACCCCATCTTGGCAGGAGCAGGTGGTGCAGGGCTGACCATCCAACTCCCACTGGATCCCCTCAGCAAACTCCTCTCCATTGAGCACACAGGCTACAGCAAGGGGGGCTGTCACCATGGCAACCTAATACCTTCATACATCCTTGTCCTTTCCAGCTCACAGGGATCCTGATTGTATCCCCACCATAGCCTCTGAACAAAGTGAAATACTTGGACACCTGGAGCACCACCTCTTACTGAGGTGAAACACTCTCCTCAAACCTTACTCCATGAAAGTAGTGTTCTTGGCAGCAGCTTTTTTTGTCCCCACACAAACACACCTGAGCAGAGGTGGGGGCCAGAGGCAAGCAGGGCACAAGGGGCCACTGGACAGTCCTGCTCTTCACAGGAGACTTCGCCAGCCTAGGAGGGAGGCCAAGTGAGATGCCCTTAAGGAATGAGACAAAATTGGGCAGGAAAAGGAAGGGCTACCCACCTGACAGGAGCATCGGAGGCAGCGGCCCCTCTCCTGGAGGGTGAAGGTCTCCTGATTCCGATATTCGTGTCCCTGGTACTTACAGCCTGAACAGGAGGACAAGGGTCTGGGGGACAGAACTGGTGGCTGAGAAAGAAGTTTCAAGCCACCCCAAGGCATCTATATCCATCCTGAGGAAGATCACCTAGGTATGTCCTCCAGGACACCCTGCCTGTACCCCACCACACACAACACAGAGGTGTGGGTCCCATCGTGGTATCTACTTTTCCATGAGAAGGTGAGATGAGAACTCACCTATGGAGTAGGAGCTTAGGAAAGCAAAGCTCATCACCATCCCAAGCCTATTCCTAATCAGTGCCTGCCCCTCACATGGTGACCCCGCCCCACTCACCATCACAGACCGGGCAGCACTGCCCAGGGATCCTGCCCGGGTATCTGCAGGGTGCAGGTGGGCAGGGCAGAAGCTCACACTGGACAGTCCCATTCTGCCAACAGGGCCCAGTCAGCAGGCAACAGGCAGGCCCTGGATCCAGGCCCTCCCTGCCAGGTAGCCTCACTCACAGCACAGCGGCAGCTTGAGCAGGGGTCCCCAGAGCCCACAGGCTCCCCACTGTGGTGTTCCCGCCCATTTAGGAAACAGCCTGTGGGGAAGAAGGGATCAGACCCTCCTCAAGGCAACCTCTCTGCTCCACTCCAGGCTGTCATAGTTAACCCACTTTGGGTCAACCATCAGCATTCTGAGCCCCTCTGGAGACTCTTGACTCACCATCACACACAGGGCAGCAGGTGCCTGGGAGGGGCCGGGCAGGGTATGGACATAGGCTGGCACATTCTCGCTGACGGCACTGGATATGGCCCTCCTGGTAGGGGGAAGGGTGGGCAGGGGAAAGACCTCCCAGGGATCAACCAAGTAGCAGAAATGGCATTAGAATACAGCTATCCACACACTGGCTGTTCTTATGGAATGACATGCACCCCCCCCACACACACACACACCGGCCAATTCCTGTTAAAGTGGTAGCCCCTGGTGACTCATAATACGATCTTATTTGGAAACAGGGTTGGTGCGGCTGTAATTAGTCAATAAGGTCATCCTGGAGTAGGTTGTCCCCCTAATCCAGTATGATTTAGTGCCCCTATAAAAAGGGGTATTTAGACTCATACACATACACAGGGAGACTGCCACAATAATATCAAGTCAAAGATCCGGATGCCAGAGCTAGAGAGATAGCTCAGTTAAGAGTACGTACTGCTCTTGCAGAGGACCTGGGTTTGATTCCCAGCACCCACATTAGGCAACTCACAACTGCTTGCAACTCCAGTTACGGAGGATCCAATGCCTTGGCCTCTGTAGGCACCTGCAGGCCTGTGTACATGCCTACGTGCAAACACACACATACACATAAATTAAAATAAAATCAAGGCTGCAGAGATGGCTTGTGATTTAAAGTACTGGCTACTCTTGTAGAGGATCTGAGTTCGGTTCCCAACACCTATATGATGGCTAACTACTGTCCATAACTCCAATTCTAGGGAACCCAATGCCCTTTGTGGGTATTGCATGACACAGTGGCACTTACATATGTGCAGACAATACACTCATACACATAAAATAAAAATAATAAACAAAATATTAAAAACTGCTCTTGCAGAGGACCTGGGTTCAGTTCCCAGCACCCACATTGGGTGGCTCATAACCACCTGTAACTCCAGCTCCAGGGAATATGATGCCCTCTTCTGGCCTCTGCAGGCACTTCATTCATGTGCACAAACACATTCAGATACACACATTCACATAATTAAAAAATATTTAAAAGGTCAGGTGTGGTGACCTTTAGTCCCAGCAAATTGGAAGGTAGAAGCAGGTGGATCTCTGTGAGTTCTAGACCAGTCAGGGCTACACAATGAGACCTCCATCTCAAAACCCATATATGTATATATAAAACCAGGATGGGTGTGGTGGCACATTTCGTAAATCCTAGTACTCAGGAAACAGAGGCAGGCAGAACTCTGTGAGATCAAGGCCAGTCTGGTCTACATAGCAAATTCCAGGCCAGCAGCTGGGGCTACAGGGAGACCCTGTCTCACAGCCTCTAAACAAATCAAACCTGCCACACCTTGATCTTGCACTTCTGGCCTCCAGAACCATGGAATCGATTTGTGTTGTTTAAGTTACTTAGTTTGTGGTCCTTAGTTACAGAAGCCTTGGGAAACTAGTGTTGATGCCCAACCTAGCATGTTACCTAAGCTCTCTGTGACCCAATTTACCTATCTGAAAAAAGAAAGTAGTAGTCCTCTGCTCATGGGCTTATGGGGTTGAACTGAAAAGTGCAGTGGGATATCTGTCTTTGAAAGCTGGTACTTAAAAGGTGGTTGCTGCTGCTCCTCATAGCTTATTCCAAGCAAACCCTATCTCTTGAATTCATACCCATACCCCTGGCTCACTGCCCCATGCCTCGACCAGGGTATAGGCAGCTGGGGGCTCTTCTCACAGGTGAACTGGGAGGGGAGGACATGGTTGAAGTGGGGTTGGGTATCTCAGGTTTACAATGGCGTTCTAGTACTTAGCAACTGTTGGGAAGCCCCATGGCTCTCTCTTAGCCCTCACGAACAGCCCTTTCACATGCCTCCCTGACGTGAGGGCCTGCAGGTCCCTAGCTTCCAACTTGCTCTTTATTCCCTATTCCTCTTCTCCCACCCCCAAACCCCTGCACTCATCCTTGAAGGCCTAGGTAAACACCACCTGCCCATGAAGCTCTAGATGCATGCTGCCCCAAAGCAAGATAACACAAGTCACACAGGTCATGTAAAATTTTTTCAAAGTCAACTTTTGAAAAGTCAAATTGTATATTAATTATATAATCTATTTTGCCCATCACATTCAAAATAGTATTTCAACAAGTAACCAATATTGTATATGAATATTTTTCATCTCATTTTTTTCTTAGTAAACTTTATAAAACCCATCACTATTTACAGTGAACATATGGACATACAAAGCATACATTATAATGAAGTTTTTGCTGTGTAGTCCCATGAAAAACAAGTATCCCAAAGAAGACCACATGGAGTCTATTAAATCCTATCAGAAATTTTAAATTACAACCCTAAGTACCTCAAAATTTCCCATGGAATAAAAAGAGAAGGAATTCTACCCAAATCCCCATTTGATGTCACCAATGCCACATAAGGACATAATAATAAAATATAAATAAAGGTTAATATAGACTAATCCCTGTTCTTGTGAATTGGAGGCAAGTGGATCAGTTATTCAAGGTCAGCCTTAGTCACATACTAATACATCATTTTATCTCAAAACAAAAGACCAAAACAGACCAAGAAAAGCTATAGACAACTTTTGGAAAGAAATCTCAATTACATAGTGGAAAACTGAATTCAACAAGTGAGTTTTCTTCCAGGGATGCAAGAATGCCTCACATTTTCAGATTAACAATGTGAATGAAAGCACAAGCATATTCAAAGATAGAAATCATATAATGAGCAAAAAAGGCTTTACTAAACCTCTGTATCCATTTGTGATTCCCTTTTTTGAGACTTTCATACCTGAGTATATTTGCATTATTTCCACCCTCCTTGCATTCCTTTTATCCTACCATCTTAAATTACTGTGTACTGCATGATTACAGTACATCTTGGTTTTCTCCCTCCCTTTCTTTTATGGGGGTGGTCAGGGAGGAGTGTTAGAGACAGGACATGGTCTCACTGTGTAGCCCACACTGTCTTCATACCCATGATCTTCCTGCTTCAGCCTCCTAAGTACTGGAATTACAGGCATGTGTCACCACATCAGGTTACATCTTGGTTTCATATATATGTGTGTGTGTGTGTGTGTGTGTGTGTGTGTTTGAGACAGGGTCTCCCTATAGCCCCAGTTGGCCTGGGACTCACTATATAGACCAGGTTGCCCTTGAACTCATAGAGATCTGCTTGCCTGCGCTTCCTAAGTGCTGGGATCAAAGGCGTGCACCACCATGCCCGGGTGCTTCTTATTTTTTAAGACAGGTTCTCACTAAGTAGTTCAGGCTACCCTCAAACTCATGACTTTCCTGTCTCTGCTAAGTGCTGAGGTTAAAGGTACGAGCCATCACATCTAGCCTATTTCAGTTTTGACTAGCCACATCTCAAGGGCTTGGGGTCATATGCAGTAGAAGCTACTGAATTGGATATTGCAAGTCAAACTGTTTTTCTCACTCCCTGCAGCTTTAACTACCCAGCATGCTCTATCCCACTGGCTTCCTTCCACCCATGAGCTCCTTGAGTTAGAATTACCGGACTGCTTAACATAGCTGTGCTCAGAGCAGGCACATACGTCCCATGCTCACAGGGCCCAGGGCTCATCTTTTTTATCTCTGTCCCTTCTCAATGCCCATGGATGTGACCCATGGAACGAAATTATGAATCCAGGTGCCCTGAGGGCAGGGTAGGGTGAGGGCCAGCCCAGGGGTGGTCCCAGGACTCACCAGGCACTGGCAGATGCGGCAGGGGTCTCCAAGTGCTGTCCATTCTTGGCCATGGTCCCTATGAGTGTCACCTTCTATGCAGCCTCGGGCTGAGGACAGAGATAAGGCCTTATGGGAACTGGTCTGGACCCCTGCCTACCTTACCCTCCTCACATGCCCTTGCTTCTTCCTAGACCATTAGAGGCACCCAGTGTGGTGTGGCCACTCCACCTCTCCCTTTAAGACTTGCCATTCATACATTACACCATCCCACTAACACATTTCCTCAAAGCCAAGTGTCAGGTCTAAGCCCTCTCTCCTGGAATGCTCCCCATCTTCTTTGTTCCTTCTCTCAGCTAACTGCTCTTTATCATTAAGAATCATCCCAGTACAGGCTCCCTCTGGGACACTATACCTTCTGTGCCCAGTCAGACTTGATCTCCTTCCTCAGATTCTACAGTACCTGGCCCCTGCTTCCACACCTGCCTTCCTAACATTTCTTTATAATATTGATGTGATTTGGGGTCACCCTCAAGTTGGTAATCCCTGAGAGGGGATACTGTATTGGGTGGCCAAAGTTATTTATTATACAATACTAGAAGGTATAGAATATTGTGTGCATCTTACAAATGGGGAAACTGAGGCACAATGACTTAGAGTCATGTAACTACTAAGACAACGGCACATGTTGAGTTTGGTTACTGCAGGTTGAGGGCGTGCTTGGACTGGCAAGGTTCCACCACTGATTAAGTATCAGAGGGTGATAGGACGGGCTTAAGGGTTGAAAAAACAGTGTGACAGCCTGCCGGGTACTCTACAAGGGAAGGATCAGGGGTTCTCACCTTGGCAGGCTGGGCAGCAGTGCCCAGGCCTCGGGACAGGCTCAGGGCAGGGGCTGGGCAGGCACTTCACAGGCACACAGCGAACCAGGCTCCTCTACAATGGACAATGGCTGAAACACCCTGGGTGCCACTCACAGAGGGTTCAAACTAGACACATGTCCAGTGGGGATAGAGGATGAACTTTGGGTTTGGGGGTTTTTTTTGGGGGGGGGTTGCTTTTTTTTGGTTTTTTTTTTTTTTGAGAGAGGGTCTTGTTGTAGCCATGGCTTGCCTGGAACTCACTCAGTATGTAGACCAGGCTGGTCTGGATCTCACAGAGATCCATCTACCTCTGCCTCCTGAGTGCTAGGATTAAAGGGGGCATGCCACCATGCTCAGCCTCAAGGAATAACTTAGATAGCACCAGCTCTCAGAAGGCATGTGGAGAGAATGGCCAGCATGATACATGATGGTACAGGGTGTATCCAAGGAAAGGCAGGCCTGGGCAGAGATGGCAGGGACTCACCAGGCAGGAGCACTGGAGGCATGGGTTGGAACTGGACAAGAAGCTGGCCCCTTCCTCATGAAGTTGCCCTTCATACTCACAACCTAGATGGTTGCCAGGATGATAAGCAGGTCACCAGAAAGTAGGGTAGATGAACATTCCCCACGGGAAGGCAAGACCCCAAGTAGGTATGGACCCACTGGGCCTGAGGGGACAGAGGAGCAAGCAAGATGGGAGGTCACCTGGCCGGCAGATGGGGCAGCATTCCCCAGGTGGGGTGTAGCTCTCCAGGCAGTTGAGCTCAGAGCATGAGGGCCCCTGGCACCGCACAGTCCCTGCCTGCAGAGCAGACATTGAGCCTTCCCTTCAACTCTCTCCACCATCCATTCCAGATTATTCTGCAAGGCCTCAAAGGCCTAGTGGCTCCAGACCCTGATGCCTGGGCAGAGGCATGGCCAGGCCTGGGGTATGCAGAGCACCAGGGACATGGATGATGGCAGGAGCCATCTCTTACTTGGCAAGTGCAGATGACACGGGGCCCTGGATGTCACATTTCAGCAGCCATGTGATCCCCAGAATCTTCAAAATCAGGCCTGGGTCCCCAAGTAAGAGACTCAGATGCCTGGGCACCATATCAAAAGGGTACCCATTCAGGGCTGGACAGCTGGTTTTCACATTTACTATACCTTTCTGACAGATAGCAGCCAACTGCCAAACATAGTGTGCTTCCTTTATTTTATAACAGGTGAAAGGGAAGTGTCTTGGCGTCTCCTCTCCCACCCCTCCCCCCAGTCATCAAAGGCTATCATCATATGAGGTAGTATTCTCTCTCTCTCTCTCTCTCTCTCTCTCTCTCTCTCTCTCTCTCTCTCCATTTCTTCCAATTATACAATTTGAAGGAGGAAAGGAAGAGTGCTGGGGCTCTAAACTAGAGCCTCAAGTATGTTAGGCAAGTAGTCTGTCACTAGGTTATATCCCTAGCCCCAGGGTCCCTTTTCTTGTGATCCATCAACTCCCAGGACTTCAGTTTTTTGTCTCTGGACAAGGACTGGCTGGAGCCCTTGTTCTTCCTCACCACCAACTGAAATACCTCTCCTGGTAGGGCTACTAGACAAGGTACATTGGAGTTTCAGATAAATAACACTGTACATTTTTAGTGTAAGAATGTCCCAGCCATGCCTGGTAGTATAGGTCTGTCATCCCACATACTCTAGAGGTTGAGGCAGGAGGATCAAAAGTTCAAAGCCCACCTGGGCTACAGAATAGGTTCAAGGCCAGCCTGAGCACCTCAGTAAGACCCCATCTCAAAATAAGTAAACAAATAAAATAAAAAGTGAAAAAGAGGCCTGGCAATATAGCTCAGCAGTAGAGTTCTGGCCTAGCACAGAAGAAATCCTAGGGTCAATCTCTACACACACACACACACACATATATATACACACACACACACATACACACACCCAGTGTGGTGGATCATGCTTGTAATCACATCTTTGTTCCAGGCTGGGACTTACCAAAGGGCAAGAGAATGAGTTGGCTTAGGATTCATGGACTACCCTCAGTCCAAAGACACAAAAAAATATGTCCCACTCCATCCCCATCATCTCCTGATGCCCTTCACTTCTAGGTATCATCAACTTCCCCAAAGTGGAGGTATCCTAAGAGAACCAAGGGCTTCCTCAGGGTAGAGAAAGCCTGAAGGAGGTGCTGTGGAGCCAGCTGAAAGGGAACAGGCAGGCAGGGGCAAATGGAGGAATGAGGACAATTAGGGTAGCACGGGTAAGGACTGAGGAAAACACCAAAACCACATCCTCTGTCCTTTCTGCCACTGTTGGCCAAACTGAGGAGTTTAGGGGGACCCATCAAGCATGTGACAACTGAGCTCCAGAAAGTAGAAGCAGTTGGAATCAGCCCAAGGTCATGGGTGGCAAGGTTGGGGAGGAAGGGCAGACAGAACCCATTACACAACAACTAGCATAGCACTTCAGCAACAGGTGACTAGAGCGAGGCAGACAGGCAACAGGGACAGCTGTGGGACACCCAGGCAGGTCTTGAGCACTCACCAGGCAGTGGCAGGTGGTACAGGTGTCTGGGGAGAAGGTCTCCCCATGGCCATAGGCCTGGCCATTGTGACTGCAGCCTGAGTTGGAGACAGTGCAGTCATTTGGGACCCCAGTGCCATTCCCAAGCCCCTAAGTGGCCCCAGCAGGTGGATGGGTTGGTACTGACCATGGCAGTGGGGCAGGTTGGGCTGAGGGCCACAGTGTACATTCCCATCCTGGCACACACAGGTGGTACAGGCATCAGGCTCCCAGCGAGCCCCCTCCGGCCAGGCGCGTCCCAGAGCCCAGCACTGGGGAGACGTTAAACGGCACTCACAGGACTCTAGCTGCCTTACCCTGGCCTGCAGGTCCTTGTTCTGGGGGAAAGGAGAGAGGCAGGTACAGCTCAGTGGTACAGTGCTTACCTAGCAGGTGTGAAGCTCTGGGTTAAATCTCCAGCACTATAAAGGAACCCTCTATTTTAGGGTCCTCAGAGCTTCCCATCCCCAAGTCTCTCTCTTCCCAATATTGAACTGTCCACCCTACCCCATCCCTGTCAGCTGGCCTCCATGGTACCTGCTTTCTGAATTCAGTCACCTCCGTCTCCAGCCGCTCCAGCCTCTCCTCCAGGAGCTGCCACGGCTGTTGGGGGGCCCCACCAGGGACTGACGAGTAGGTGGGTGCCTGCTGCTGATAGTCAAGGATGTCAGCAGGGTTAAAGAGTTCCCTGGAGACTTCACCTGACAGGCACAAGAATCCAGTTTTACCCTGTCATTGGGGCCTAGCAAGTTTTCCTGGGCTCTGTCCTCTGAACCATGCTGGGGAGAAGGGTTACCCTGTGCCCAATCCTGTCTACCTGCCCCACTGTCCAGGGAAAGGGGCTTCTGGAGTGGAAGGGGGGAGGTGGGGAAGAACGAGCTATCACAGGAATGGAAGGAGGAAGAGAGCCTGAATACACCAAAGTGACCAGACCAACTTTCCCTCCTTGTCAGGGACACTGATCCTCTGGAGGCACAGGGCAGTATCCAGACCAGGACCAATTTTATTCAATTTCTATGGCTTGATCAACATCACCCTACTCACTCAGTGAGTAAAGTGGGAAATACGGGGCTCAGTGCTGTTTTGTTTTTTAGTGCCATTTTTCTATATCCCTTTCAGACCTCACCAGTCTCTGGATCTGCGTCAATTGTTCCATAATTCGCCCCTCCTTCCTTTCCCCACGACTGAAAAGCAAGCCTCTTTACAAGGGTCTGTTCGTCTCTCCCAAAAAGCAAGTTAAGGCTCCTAGCAGCGAGTTAAGATGGGACCTGTCAGCAGCGCTGCACAGCTTTCCAGCCTGCCTTTAGCGCCCTCCCCAGCAGGGGTTCTAACCCTCCAACCCTTACACGGTCATTATACCACCCCCACCCCATGCCTGTTCCCATCTCCTGCCTTGTGCGTGCAGGACATCCTGTCCCCAGGAATTAGCACTGTTCTGACATGATTCCTCTGCCCAACTTCCACTCGCATGGAGGGTGCCAATGGATAGTCTCAGTATCTGAAACTCTCCATCCAAGCTTGAACCCCTATTTTCTCCCTACCCTCATGGCCCCACATCCCAGCCAGCTCCTCCACTCCTGCTTAAGTAGGCAGAATTTGGAGGCAAGGAGGCAGGAAGAGTCCTCTGATCGGTTCTTTCCCTGGAAGATCGGCAGAAAGTGCTCTTGGGAGGGGTGCAAACCTGGTTGCTCCCCCCCTCCAAATGTCTTCGGGTCCCCCCTCAGTCTCTTCCTACCCTGTTCCTGAAGGAACTCTCCATTCCTGACTGCACCGTGGGAGATGGCCTGACCCGACTCAAAGTCAGTTCTCCCAGCGAGCCTCCCCCCTCCTTTCTGAATAGAAATAATTAATTTCAGACTCCCAGATGCCAGGGCAGCTTCTCACGCTGCTGCAGGACCCCTTGGCAGGGAGGCAGGAGGCCCAGGACCTCTCCTGGGGCCGCTGTCTGGCCGTTTCTCCCCCACCCTGTTAGCCCACCGACAGGGAGGACGAAGACTGAGCACGGAGTTCGCCCAGGGGCGCGTAGACCAGGAGGGGCTGGAGAAGTGCCCCGGGGCCCCATGCGTCTTTCCAGCTGGGCCGAGCCAGAGGTGGGGGCGCGCCCTCGGCGCCCCGACTCACCGCGCGCCGCCAGGGCGAGGCTCCCGAGCTGCAGGAGCAGCGGCAGTGCCGCCCGAGCCCCCGCCATGCTCTCTGCACCAGCCCAGCTGCGGGTAGTCGCGGCTCGGGCGGTGCTGCAGGGGGCGGGGGGCGGGGACACAGGCCGCCGCCCACCCAGGCTTTGTTCGCCCCTACTCCCGCCTCCCTCCTCCTCTGGGCGCCCGCCTCCCCCACGGGTTTCTCGCTCCGGGTTCCCCCAGATCCAGCCCCAAACCAGCTTTCCCTGCCCGGCCAGGGATCCCCATCTCCTCGTCCCTTGAGCCGCCCATCTCCAGAGGGTCCCAGTTTAGCTCTTCTCTCACCTTAAGGGTTTACAAGAACCGCAGACTGAGCTGGGTTCAAATCCTTATGCAGTCAATTCCACTTGCTTTTAGATAAACCCCTACTTTCTCTTAGGGCCTCAGTTTTTCTGCAACAGTGGGTCACAGCTATTGTAGAAACTTCCAATGAATAACAGGTGAGGTTTTGTAAATTGGAGTAAACATATGTGGTGGCAAACACCTGTAATCCCCGCTTTTGGTGGGGGTGGGTTGGAGAGGGGGTGTTGACTTTTAATTCACAAAGATCCGCCTGGCCCTGAGTGCTGGTATTAAAGGGGTGCACCACCACACCGGGCTTTTTTTACAAGGCCCTGGCTTCCATCCCTGTCACCACAAGGAGAAACTTCTCAGGCAAGGGCACTTTGTTATGACAGCTCAAACTGATTGCTATGTGGGGAGAATATGATTTAAAAAAAATTGTCTGTGTGTGTGTGTCTGTGTGTGTGTGTTTGAGACAGGGTTTCCCTGTAGCCCCAGCTGGCCTAGAACTCACTCCGTAGACCAGGCTGGTCTCGAACTCACAGAGATCCGGCCTGCCTCTGCTTCCCGGATGCTGGGATTAAAGGCATAAGGCATGCACCCATCATCCCTCGCCTTTAATTTATTATTTTAAGTTTGTGTGTGAGTTTATTGCCTGCATGTATGTAAGTGCACTCGTGCCTGAATACAACACCACAGAGGGTATCGAATCCTCTGGAACTGGAGTTTCAGTGGGCAACCATGTGGGTGTGAGGATTCGAACAGAGAACCTCTGCAAAAGGGGCTATCTCTCCAGCCCTCTCTTTTGATCTTTTTGAGGGAGAATCTCCCGGTAGCCCCAGCTGGCCTAGAGCTTGCTAAGGAGAGCAGTCTGGCCTTGATCTCACAGTTTCACCTGCCTCTGCCTCCTCCCTCAGTTTGAAGGTGAAGGTGAAAGATCAAAAGTTCCCAGACCATCCTATGCTACATAACCTACATAACCAGCCTGGGATGCATGAATGACATCTGTCTAATAAAAACAAAACACCACCCCCGCCCCCCACACACAATTCAAGGTAGTGATTGGCCCAGGGTAAGTGCTCACTAAGTAACAGTAATCAATGCTGATCAGTTTCAAATCAAGAGCATCCACTCACACATTTATTTCCTGGACTCAACTCACCACTTCTACCCCGGCCCCAGGCTTGGCCCCAAATGCCTAGGCCTCCCCTCACTGGCTGGACCCAGCTCCTTTTTTCCAGCTGCTGAGTTCTTGCTGGGCCTGGGGCTAAGCCTGGCTAGGGGGCAGGGCTAGGCCCTGGGCTCAGTAGAGTGGGAGGCCAAAGGGAGGAAAAGAGGAAAACTGTCCACGTTGGCTCAGGGCTAGGAAACAGGCTGGGAAACAATTCAGTGCAGCTGGGAAGGAGGACTGGGGCCCCAAGCTCACAGGCAGAAGGACATGAAGAGTGGAGCTGTGAATCCAGCCAAAGCAGTCTCCTGGCCAAACTCCCAGCTGAGGCAGGGCAAGGACTGAAGGTCTCTTCCAGCCTGAGCCCCTCTCCCTCAGGGGTCAAGGCTTGAGTGAAATGAAGACAGAATCTCTTACCCAGATGTGTGCTGCCACCACCCCACCCCCACCCCACCCCTGGGGGCGGGGGGCTAAGCAGTTTGCAGTAGGGGAAAAGGAGACTATGACTCAAACCTGGCTTCTGCAACCTGGAACTGGGGTCACAGAGCAGAGGAAAGCCAGAGCCAATGGCCCCAAAAGGAAGTGGCAGCTCTCTTCCCACCAGAAGCAAAGGAAAAAAATGTTTTTCAGACAGCATCTCTAGTCTAGTTCTGGCCTCCAACTCTATAAGCCATCAAGGATGACCTTCACAGGCAGGTCCTCCTGCCTCCATCCTGGGTGCTGGGATTACAGGGATTCAGCACCACCAAGGTTATATGTAGTGTGAGGATAGAACCAAGGGCTTGGTGTATGCTAGACAAGCACTATGCCAAATGAGTTACATCTTCAGCAGGAATGACCTCTATTTACTGGGTGCCTCTTGCTTAGTGGTGGGATGGTAACCTGTCAGCAAAGCAGGACACATACTAGGTCTGCTGCTGACTGCTGAGTGACCTCAGACAAGTCATGTCACTTTCAATGGCTAATACCTCTCTTTTTAAAGTTTTTATTTGTGTATTTACTTTGTGTGTGTGCGTGCGTGTGTGTGTGTGTGTGTGTGTGTGTGTGTGTGTTGAGTGTAGGCATGTGCATGCCACAGCATGAGTAAGAGGACAACTTGTGGGAGCTGGTTCTCTCCCTCTGTCATGAATTTCAGGGATTCACCTCAGGTCATCAGGTTTGCATTAAAAGTGCTTTTACTTGCTAAGCTATCTTAATAGACCATAGTTGCTAATTTCTCTTAGTTTTGGCCTTGAACTCTAATAACACCCTCCTCAGACAGTGCTTGTATAGGTTAAAAATATTAATCCCTGGAAGGAGCACCCATCATAGGACAGTGCCTGGCCTATGTATAGGAAATCATACTACTTTTTTTTATTTATTATTTTTATTTTATGTGTATGAGTATAAAGCCCATACGTATGTAAGTGTACACATGTTGTACAAGCCCATGGAGGTCAGAAGAGTGCTTTGGATTCCCCTGGAACTGGAGATGGACAGCCATTAGCTACCATGTGAGTGCTGGGAATCGAACCCAGGTCTTCTACAAGAGCAACAAGTGCTCTTAACCACCGAGTCATCTCTCCAGGCCCCGTACTACTTTTTTTTCATGAACTCTAATCTGTACTCCAACCATGCAGGGAGTTTTACTCCTGCCTCCATTTTACTGAGAGACACTGGGTAAGCTGCTAAAAATCACACTGAAAGTAAAACACAGAGCCTGGATTCAATGACAGGTGCCTGGCACTGATCTTCCCACTCCCTCATTGATGAATTTCCTTTGGAACAGTGATCCCGCATCTCAGGTTCCTCTCCTGTGAATGGAGATATAAGAGTACCTCTGTCATTGTGGTTGTCAGAAATAGCTTAACCTGAGTTCCCTGAAGGCAGAGACTGAGGCAAAGTCCTTATAAGCAGCTTTGTTCTGGAGTATGATCCCAGGAGCAGAAGTCAGTGAAAGAGAAAAGGACAGAGAGGCAGACAGGTATGAGCTGGTCACTGATCATCCAGTCCCACAGGAAAGTGTAGGACTCATCCATTGGCATCAGTGCCCCACCTGTCTAGGGTGGCTGTCATGTATAGTCTGGAGAATGATCTACCATAGGCATGCTTCAGATTTTGTAGTTTATTTTTTTAATTTCATTTATTATTTTTATTTTATGTGTATAAGTGTATTGCCTGAATGTGTAGAAGTGCACCCATGTCATGCAACGTGGCAGAGGTTAGAAGAGGGTGTTGGATTCCCCTGGAATTAGAATTAAGGGTGGTGTATAGCCACTATGTGGGTGCTGGGAATTGAACCCGGGTCCTCTGCAAGAGCAGTCAGTGCTCTTAACCACTGAGCCATCTCTCCAGGCCCTGTAGTTTATTTTTTGTGTTTTGCTTGCATGAATGCAATGCCCATGGTGGCCAGAAGAGGGCAGGCTCCAGGTTCCCTGGAACTGGAGTTTGGGGTAACAGTTGTAAGCTGCTATGAGGGTGCTGGGAACCAAACCTGGGTCCTCTGGAAGAACAGCAAGTGCTCTTAACTACTGAGCCAACTCTCTAGCCCCATACTTTAGGTTTTGGATGAGTGAGTTTGTTAAATATAGATAGATGATAGCAAAACATCTTCAAATGAGACACTCAGAACACCCAACAGAATCTGACTGGAGAAGTCCCTTGAAATCAGCCAGCTAGAGATTCCCTGGCAGAGCAGAGGGTCCCCTTGGGTGAACCTTCCAAACAAAAGAACAAATAATAGCAGAACGGTCATATTGTCAAATTGGAGGCTTACAAACACCCAGTAGAAACTGACTGGGAAAGTTGAGGCAGTCAGCTAGAGTTCCCAGTTGAGCTTTCTCCCATGGATGAGCTTCCAGGGGCTGAACTGCCCCCTTCTCTTTCAGGTGCCAGGTCCACCTCCTTGGGCTCTAGGCACAGAGCCAAGCTTCAAGATGAATGCTGAATTATGAGAATCAGTCTGTGCACCTGACGGGCATGGCTCATGGGCACTACAGTTAGGACTATACTTCTTTGTCACCTAGAACCTGCTGGGATTTTAGGTATTTTCATTTTGCTTTGCTTCTGTGAGAGACCAATACGATGACAGTGAAATCCACATTCAAGCCAACCCTGGTGGGTGGGCACATTTGCAGGGCTGGCAGTGATCCCTGAGCCCCAAATTCTGCAGCCAGCAGGGAGCTTTGCCAGTCCAAAAAGCTGGTTAGTCTCATGCCCAGTCCTACCTGGAGCTTAACCAGTTTTCTCTCTGTCTGTCCCTCAACATTTATTTATTGTGTAGGACAGAAGGGGACACTCATGAGGTCAGAGGACAACATTTGAAAGTCTGTTCTCAGGGCTGGAGAGATGGCTCAGCAGTTAAGAACACTGGTTGTTCTTGCAGAAGACCCGGGTTTGAATCCCAGCACCCACATGGCAGCTAACAACAGTCTGTAACTCCAGTTCCAGGGGATCCAATGGCCTCTTCTGTCCTCCACGGGCATTGCATGACACAGGTGCACTTATCTACCTGCAGGCAATATACTCATACACATAAAATAAAAATATTAAATAAAAAAAATTTTTGGTCTTTTTGAGACAGGGTCTCCCTG